AATAATTTAGTTTACAAAGTAATTTTAACTGTTCATTGAACTTCAATGAATTTAACTACATAATTTATTAAATTCAACTATTTAATAATAGATTAAAGATAAAATATATTGAAAACAAGTAAAAAAAAAAATAATTTATATTATAGTACATTTAAATTATACTACCTATTAAACAGTCATTTTCATTATTATTAAATAAATATGAAATAATTTTTTTACTAATTAACCATATATTATAAAACGACAACATAAATTATAATTAAATATATAATTATATTCATCAAGTGAAAATTATTTCTAAATACTCCATCAGCTAGATACTGTAACTGAGCTTTAAAACTTGATATTGAAGTATTTAATGAAATATTTGTTCTATACACAGTTGGATAAACTTATTTAATATCGTTATCACCAAAACTTTCTATTTTTTTTTTTTTTTAATATTACTCATTTAAACACCATTTAGGTACATAAAATGGAGAGCCGCTTCCTGTAAGGTCTAATGAACTAGGTTTAGTGGATTTGTTTGAAGATCGAGAGGGGGAGTTGAAATATGGGATTATGTTTTCCATTAGCGTTCCATTAGCGTTTCGGACACAAGGATTCACCACGAGAGCTTTTCTGGGTACAATAACCGAAGCCCTTTCTCCAAAACAAAACGTCTCCTACGAGTACACTGTTTCTCCGATTGCGCAACGAAATGTTATCCCAATGGGATTTTATTGTATTCGCAAAAAAAAACCACCACTTGAGATATTACTTCTTTTCCTTTCCCTCCTGTGTATTCTTTTTAGATAGTAAAAATCCATTAATGTGTTTTAATACTTATAAAGTTTTGTATTTTATATGTGTCTTGAAGCTCTTACTATACCTATTCCACATGTTTAATGTACTTGAACTTATGATCAATATAAAAATCAATAAAAAATATAAAATATATTTATTTTAGCATTAATGGACTTAAAAGTTAATAGTGTTAATGTTTACCGACGGATAATACTGGTTAATAATACTCAAGCTTAACCGTTATAAAACGGTATTATTGAATATTTAATAACCAAATAAACAAAGTTAAGTGTAAAAATATAAGGGAAGTATATTCTTGAAATTTATCGTATACTTTTATAACAGCTCAAAAGTGCTTTAATGATTCAATTATTATATTCAATAGTTGTAAAATATTAGCATTTGTTATACATAATACAGCTCATATACAACATAATAAATATTGTTATACATAACAAATCATTTTTATCATATTATCCATATATTTAAAAAAATATTAATATGTAAGGCCCAACTGTATATACCATCATAATAAGTATAAAGAAATCCATTTACTTATCTAGGTAATTTAATTTCATAATATAGTAAATTATATTGAGGTATATAAAGTAGTTAAGAAAATAAATTATAATTTTATTTATTTATTTATTATTTATTATAAGATAAACGCCAACCGGCTTTTATAGAGTGTATACAGTATAATAATAACTTATTAATTTAAATAACTAGTCTTACTTTTGAATGTATAATACATTTAAAGACTACTAATTAACCGCATATTAAAATGTGACAATATAATTTATATTCATCAAATTAAAATTATTTCTAATTACTCTGTCAACTAGATACTGTCATTTAGAAATTAAATATCAAAATTAGGTATAACTAATATTAATGCAACTCATCTTCACAATTAGTAAGATAGTCTCAAAATTAAACTGCTGTTTATTAATTTAGTAAATACATTTTAAAATCATAAATTAAAAAAAAAAATGGTATCTATTTAACAATAGTATTAAGATCATGTAATTTAATTTAGTACCTAGTAATGCTCATAAATACAAAATCACAAAAACACTAAATCAGTGTTCATAAACAACAGAAAAAATTTTAATAAAAATATAAAATACAATGATATGCTACTGCAAATTGTATTATTAATTTTAAAAACTTAATGAGATTATAAAATAAAAATGAGTCAAGTATTGACAAACTAATAAAGCATACTAGATCGATTCATAAAAACACTGATCGAATTTTTTTTTTTATGTGTGATACACAATTTGTAATATTTAACATAGTATTATTATAAGTATATAATATCAGCAAATTGAACGAGAAATACACTAGATTCTTACGTAATACAATTATTTACCAGTTACGTAATGATGAACTAATAAGAATACTGAAGTCGAAGCTTAGTAAATTTACCTCATCTAATAATATTTAATAAAAAATATTAATCTTATCCATCAAACATTTATTTAATAGTTAAGTCAATGTATCTATATGCAAGGGCGCCCATATGGGGGGCAAGGGAGGGACATGTTCCCCCCTGGAAAATGTCAAAAATCTTAAAAATTGTTTACTATGATCAGAATATATTTATTTAAATATAATTTAAAAATTTAATTTAATATACTTAAATCTATAATTTTTTTATGAAAAATCTATTTATTTAATTTGAAAAATCAGGTTATCAGCTTTAAATATCAAAACAATTCGTTTTTTCGTTTCTATTCTATGGATGATTATCAATTCTTAAAATATTGTGTATTTCCAGAAATACGGTATATATATATATATATGTGTGTGTGTACATAACCATAATATTTATATAATATTTGTAAATTAATATTTTAATAAATATAACTAATGTTTTAAGTGTCCAATTTATATTATAAATTAAATAAAATTTTCAATAAATTACTTTTATGGTGAATTGGTTAAATAATTATTATTTTATAGTCTTCCAGTTTGATATATATAATGTAATAGTATAATGTAAAATAGTAAACCCCTTCCTATATCATGGGTCATTCCTATTTATGAATAGATATATAAATTAAAATGTTGCCCCCCCCCATTGAGAATTTTCCTATGGGCGCCCTTGTTTATATGAAATCTATTTATAAACGTATAAGTTTTTTTTATGCATGTGTTTCTATAATATTTTTATTTATTTTTTTTTTTTTTATGTAATAACTATATAATATAATAAAATTGATTTATTTTATATTCAAGACCTTTTAAATTAAACAATTAATTTTATATAAAGCTCTATTAGCAGCTACATATATAATTGTATTGATTAAATACACTAAACCAAAACCCAATTCAATAAAAAGTTTATTAATCGTAAATCGTTGTCATGTTCGTTTTATAAAACAATATTTAATGGTGTATGATTATAAAACATCCACCTATTCGATTTTATTAAACGATTTTTCATATTAAATAATTTTTTTCTAATATTGTTTGACATAGTAAAAAAAAGTTACGTTTTATGGTCTCATAAAATATAATTTAACAGACTGAGATACTGTTAATTTTTTTAATTTCACTAAGTAATTTAAATTAATAATTGTATTTCAATTAAAATGAACAAATCCTTTAAACATTTGATTTCAAATGTTTTTTCTTTTAAATATTACTAATATTTATATAAATATAAAAATCATTAATAATATAATATAAAACAATGATATAAATTACAAACCCGTTTTAATCAAAATTTAAAATGTATATACTATAAGTTTTATTATTAGTCATAATTCCCTTAAAATTTAAATTATTTAAGGTTCATGTAAATAAAGCGACTTTTAAGTAATATTTGATGTATTAATAATAAATATAGGTAGCTTTGTATTATAATTACTCTATTATTATTTTTAAACCATTTATTTTACATAAGTGGTGTAATTATTATAAATCTTATTTTAGTAAACTAAAATAACCCTGCAAATTAAATACTATTCGTAAAGTAAATATAAAATTATTTGTTCGACAAGAAAATTAACAAACTTTTTTTTTATTTATAAGAAAAAAACTATTTGATTATGTTTTCAATTCGTCTAAAATTTCAACTAGATGAATAAATAAAATGATTTAGTAAATAATTTGATCAAAACTAATATACACGACGAATATTTATAAATATATAATATGATGTTCATTTGTATTATATCTAACGACGACTGAAGTGGTTAGAAATATTTTCATGACAGTTACAAAAGAATTGAACGCAAAAATGTATACACAGAGTGTTTCACAAGGATTTACTAGTCTTATGTTGTAAGTCTCACTTGAAATTAGTAAACCCTCACGTAGCTATATGAATACTATAATTAATTTTTCAAATATGTCAATTACGCACAAACAATAAATATACCTACGTGTTGCGCCTAAAACTAATAGACAAATAATAACCATACACGTGTTTTCCTCTAGCCTCAGAAAAAATCAGGTGTCTAAAATGATTAAAGAATCAAATATCGGTCGATGAACGGAAAACAAAATTGTAAAGGAAAGCCGGTGGGAGGAGAAGTACACCGAGTATTTGCTAATATCAAATTACTGATGGTATGGGTCTATTAAACATGTGAGGAGCGGTGTAGGGACGTCCGTCGAAAATTATCACGAATAGGTGCAAAAAACTTGGTTTGAATATTAGTTATTTTTATTAATCCATTATTGAACTAGTATTACTCTACAATTCAAATGAGCTAGTCAATCGACGATTTAAAAACAAAAATATTAAACGAAAACCATTTTAATCGAGCCATGTTTATTTTTTACACTTTGATTACTTGTGTTTCTGATGAAAATAAAATATTATTAATACTCAACGTTTTCGCGTCATTGTATTACGTTTATCATCGAATAGCTATTCACATGAGGACCAAAAGTAAAATGTAAACACGTTGTACGGCGGTTTAGTGATTTTCAGGATTTGGTAAACATTAACGGGCGATCAACAATAGTTTTGGAAAATCTCAGATGGCCGGATGGGTCCGGAGACGTGCCGGGAAGAGTACGAGAAGTCAAAGGGACCCCAGCTCTTGTGTTTCGGGAGAGACGGCATGGGTCGCTGGACCACGGAGATATAACGTGACCGGTAACGGTGGGCGACCGGACGGAAAGGACGAGCCGCGCGAACGCGTGGTACGCACTGGATGCGGGTAAAACAAGGATAACGAGAATACGGCACAAACCTCGTTTGTTGTGGACGTTCGCGGACGACGTGGCAGCTCGGCCGGCCGGCAGCACGGTCGTGGCGCACAACAGCAGGAGACCCAGCCGCACGTACGACGACAACATGGCTCATTTGCAGCGCACATGACCACCGACCACCATCGTTCACGTTGTCGCGCGGCGTCGAGATCCCTCCGCGGAGCCGGCTTCTTATCATACACTACGGCACGCGCACCACATTCGTCGTACCATCGTCGTGCGATAACGGGCGCGCACAACCCCCGTCCGACGGATTATCAACCGAAAAACAACCGAACCGGTACACGGCGATATTGTACGTGCTGCGAATATCTACAACGTACTACATGGGTACATGTATAACAGCGGCGGCGGCGGCGGCGATGATGTGTGTATGTATGCGTGTGCGTGCGCGCGCGCGCACGTGTGTGTGTGTGTGTGTGTGTGTGTGTGTGTGTGTGTGTTCGTACGTGTGCGTGTGCTCGTATGTGTGTGTGTGTGTGTGTGTGTATGTGTACGCGTGTGTGTGCGTGTGTAAAGCGTATGAAATTGTATTTTTTATTTTTTTTTTATTTTTTATTTTTATTTTTTTATTTATTATTATTACGAAACGAGAGAGAGATCGAAGCGCGCGAGAAACCAGGGGTGGTCGGGACGACAGTCGCACAGCGTACAGTTCGCCGATCTGTGTGTGCAAGGTTCCGCGTTACGGGGTAACGGCGGCAGCCGCTCACCGGCGCTTTCGGGTCATGCGCGCTGCCCGGGCGCCTAGGGATAACCACTGCCGCGTTTCGCCGCCGGGACGCAGCACCATCTCGGCCCGGCGGCAACCCGTGTGCGTCATTGCCGCGCAGCCCTCCTTCCAACCCCCACACACGAGCGCGCGCACATTCCCGCCGCCACCGCCGCCGCCGCCGCCGTACACCTGGCTCCCGCGACGAGATGTGATCGCCGATCGCCGCCGCCGCCGCCGCCGCCGCCTCCTGCCTGCCTTTATTCGCACTCGACCTATTTCGGTTCTCCTATCCCGTCTACAATAACTCGTGTACTCGCGCGGCAGCGTTTTGCTGCTCTCCGTCCCCGGTGATGCGTCCGCGGGTCCATCACCGATCCGTTCCTCACGCGCATCCCTAGCCGCCAACACCGCCACCGCCACCGGTACCTATCTCTACACACCTCTCATTCGCATCCACTCGCTGCGTGTACGTACACGCAGCTGCGGCGTCGGCGGCACCGAATCCTGCAGCGGACCCAATCGGTGTTTTCGCATAACAATGGTTTATCGTCACGTAATAATAATATACGCTCGCGACAATGATATACGTGTTACTAGACGTCATGTTGACGGTAGTAATGCTACTGGTGGTGGTGGCGCGTAGAGTGATGTCATCACTTTTCTCTCTCTCACTCTTTCTCTCTCTCTCTCTTTGTTCCTCTAGCGAGCGCACCACATCATTTTTTTTTTTTTTTTTTTTACTTACGTATATAATTGTACGCATAGACAATACGCCGCTTTTCCACTCTCATCACCGCCGCACCACCATCACATTTACATCCATTAAGAAAATATTTGACCGCGTTTTAAAAATTGTACTTCGATACACAAACCGTTTAAATTTCTATTAAATTATACATATATATATATACGTACGTTTTCGGTTTTGCTTTTGTCGTTTACTCCCAAGTGGTCCTCCTTTCACCGCAACACATTTAGATTGATCATTTACCATCGTTAATGATCACTGCGTGTAATAAACTACCCCGGTAATTTACCATCAAGCACCGTAATTTAAGGCGGGAAGCCAACACATCAATATTGAAAACAAAAACAAAAACAATTTACATTTTTCAACATTATATTAATGCATATGGTTAAATGTCACTTTTCATTTCAAATACATAAATCGTATTTAAGTAATTAATATTAATTTTAAATGTATGTATATTAATATATTCATATATGTCATATAAATACTTTAATATGCGTTTTCAAGCACTTTTATTCCATATGTATGCACAAATTTAAAACTTTGTATAACTTCCTTCAAAGAAAAATTATCTACACTAAACACAAAATTAAAACATTAAAAAGGTAATGTTTGTAAAAATTTTGTTATGTACTTTTAATGGAATCAATATGGTGTGAAAATAGTTGTCACCGGTGTACCTGAATTGCCTACACAAAGTGCCGTCTGTTATTCAACATGCATTCATAATGCAATATATTTTTTAATAAATAAATTTAAAATTATGTTTTTTCAATTTAGAGTTTTGTAAGTGCAACTAATGATATTTTTTTAAGAATGACAAATTCTACCAATATATTACAAATATAATATATTAGATAAATATTCAATTGGGTTACAGATTTATAAGTTCCATGATGACTGATTAGAAACTTATTTGATTAGACATAATTAATACTTATAAATTATAATAATATATATGTAAATACTAAAACAAATTGTGGTTAATACATTTTTTACTCATATATATCACCGCTCTAACTCGAAAATATTACGGTTACGCTCATACTTTTATATATTCACATTTATAAACAATAAAATACAGTTAAGTTTAAAATGGGATTTTGAAAACGATAGTTATTATGTAATAATATATAAACTATATAAAAATATTGTGTATTATTAAATTTATTACTAAAGGCAAAAACAATAATGTCCAAAGAAGAAAAAATATAATATTTTTAATCAAATTCGTTCAGGGGACATAAAGGAATAAATTTCATTTCATTTAATGAATCCATAAAAAAATCGAAATTAGATAAAAATATAAAACTATTTATTTTAAAAAAAATAAAATGAAAGAATTAACATTTTAATTGAATGTTAATAAAAAAAAATATTTACTTTTAAATGTAATTCATATGAGAAAAATTAACAGTGCATGATATTTTATAAACTCGAAACTCACAATAAATAAACATTTAACTTAGTTAAATATATTATTGAAAAATTCACCATATCACATAAATCATATTCATATCTACGTAATAAAAAAACAGTCGAATCGAAATATATTTCATCATAATGCTAAATGTTATATAAATCCGGAAAATTAATATCAAAGAATGTTCAGTAATATAAATATTTTACAGATACCATACTTGTAAAATAGTAACAAGTGTGCTTTAGTTTTATTAAGCACATTTAAGATTTCGAATATACTAAATACATTTTTCTTAACAATTTATATTACTATTTACATATTACAACACCCGTTTACTTAATTTTGTAATTTATTTTCACTTAAATAATTTAAGTTACACATATTAATTCAGAATTAATTAAATGTGTAAAGCTTAATATTTTAAGTCATAAACATACATAAAATCAAGATTAAAATGTTAATTGTTTTAAACAAAATAATTTAAATAGGGATTTAATCAAAAACACATTAGAAAAGTAATTTTGATTGTAATTATAGAAACTCATAAATCGCATGGATTTCCGCAAAATAAATGTGCATTTTATAAGTGAATAACAAATAATTCATAACCGGGGAACATTTGTTTGAACACTATCTTATACCTAATTACCAAAATATCTTTTTATAAATTATTTTTATTTGTGAATTTCAAAAGTAAAACAATAATTTTAATTTTATTTTATAATATACTGAAATAAGAAAAAAAAATATTTGAAGAATTTAAAATAATAAAATACGATTGAAAATATAATTTAAATATAAAATATTTTTCCTTGGCTTCAAATACGATATTATAAATATTTCATAAAAATAAATATGTATTTTATAATATTTTTACAGTTATATATCACTTGGAAGCTAGTAAAATAATCTCTGAAAACAAATAAATATTCAACTTATATTAAAATAGATTTTTAGTTAACAATGACAAAATAAATTCAATACATTTGTATATAAATTAAATCAATATACCATAAGGAATCAAGTATAAATAAGTAATGAGTACAAATTATAAATATATTTCTAATAGTTAGAATTTATAAATAAAATTAAAAACAATAAAAATATTGACATATATTCTGTATTTTTTGTGTCTTTTTAAACTTAAACGTTTGTATTCCTTTTCTATTAAAACATAATAATGAAATTATTTATTATTATAGATTTTAATGTATTTTATACAAAGTTCTTTATGTACTATACAAGTTAATTTAATATATACCTACTAATAAAATTTATTAATATTATTATCTGTTATTTAATAATAGTTATTTTTTTTGTCCTCTACTGTTTTCAAAATTATAAAAATATGAATAAATTACGATTCATTGAATTGTAATTTTAGTTAAAAAATGTAATTAACATTTTTTTCTTTGATTTTCATTCACTATTCATTGAAAAATATCTCTAAGTTCTAAATATTTAATCAATAAATTTTAAAATTGTACAGTTTTTGGTCGATTGGTATGCTCAATATATAAGTAGTGCTTTATTACTTATAAGTGATTCATATAGATGTTTGGAAAATTTTAGTTTTATTCTGTTGTTGATGTAGCTTTTCCAATATTTTTAACTTCTCCAATACTTTAATGTGTTTAGTGATTTTAATTCTCAACTCATCACCAAACAAATATTAATAATAAAGTTATTCGTAAAACATACATGACTTAAAGTAAACCATTACTTTCATTATAAATTTACCTTTCAAATTCATAACGTATATTTACAACAGACAAACCACACTTTAAGACATGCCAATTTAATTTATACCAGTAACAAAGATAATAACATAGTAAAATAAATGTGGCTTGCTGTCATTCAAAAAAAATATTAGTTGTCAAAAATATCATAATAAATAATTGTTTATGAGTACTTATAATATACTAATATAGTTTAATGTATATTAATATACTAAATATTGGTCTATTTAAAATTTATTTTCATATTTATACAACTTGCTAATATTCATATTAAATGATGTATCGTTGCATTTAATTAAAAGATAGCCACAATCACCTATCTACTCGTATCTTCTGAGCTCACTTAAGAGCTATATTTATTCAACAGTTTGAGAATATTAATTATAATAAAATAAACTTAATTTGTAATTTATTAAAATATATTCATGGGAGTTGAAAACAATGATGGGTTATAGATCTACCTAACACATACATTTAATTTATGCTCAACTCTACATTTATTATCAAATGATCGGCTGTAACTGCTGCTCTCAGGGGTAATACAAAATATGATACGCTTATAAACATACATTTTATCGAATATAATAATAATCATGAAACAAATATTGCCCTTTAGTTTTCAATTATTTAATCTTTCTAATACTCATCGGGTAAAAATAAATTAATTGAATTATAATTTAATAACCATACTTACGATTTATTTATTTTTTTTTTTTTTTTTATAAATAAATTCAATAATAATAAATACTAATATATAAGCTGATTTTAATTAGTTCAATTATATTTATAT